GATTGTAGATTTTAAAGCAGAATGATTATCTGTTATATTATTTGAAATTAAGAATATAGGAAAATGATCTGTTATGTCCGTTTTAATTATACCAGATTCTAAGAGGCAATTATTAGTAACTATATTATCAAGTAATGTTGATGAAGTGTTAGTTATTCTGGTTGATTTGTTTACAGTTGGAATTATATCATGTTGAATTAAAGTATTTAAAAAATAATGAACATTTACATTAGAAGAATGATTTAACAGGTTTATATTATAGTAACCAGTTAAGTACACGTGTTTCTTTGTTAAGTTGGTGTTGCTTAAAAAATTTTGTAAATGAGATTTAAATATTTTAAAATTCCCTGCTGGTTTTCTATAAATAGAATTAATGATAATATTTTTGGTTGCTTTATTTGTTATTTCGATGCATAACGACTCACAATCCGTATCATTAACATTGACGTCATTACGCAATATAAAGTTAATAGATTTGTAAATAAAGATATTATACCACCACCAACGCGGGTTTTATGAGGTTGGTGAATTGATACGTAGTTATTTAATTCATAATTAAAATATTTTGCATTTCTTTTTAACCACGTTTCCGTGAGACTAAATATTTTAAAATCGTGGTTTAGATCATGCAATAATAATTTTAAATTATCAAAGTTTTTATTAATACTTCCAATGTTATATCAGTTTTAAATATCAGTTTTATTGATATTTATTCTTTGAGGCAGCCGTAGTTATTTTGTTTCTTCCCATTATATTATTAATTACGTCCCATGTTTTTTTTACATCGAATTTGTTTTTTGTTAGTTCTTCACTATGATAGTTATTTTTAGCTTTTATGAGAAGATTTTTGGTAAAACCGTTTATACTTTTTGTATATTTTTTCATTATCTTCACTTCTGTTTTTCAAAAATTTATTGTAAAGTTTTTGTTCAATTTTTGAATATTTTAGTAGAGTTTTATTCATCCAAGGATTTAGTATTGTTTTTTTATAGTTATTTTTAATTCATATGGGCACGTTTCGTTATATATATCAAGAAATATTTGTAGGAAAATATTAAAAGCTTTATCTGTATTATCACATTTAAAAACCTGATTCCACGACTCTTGCTTTAGTTTTTTAGAAAGATTATTCTTATTAAATGTTGATAAGTTGCGTTTTTTTTGAGTTATAATCTTAGAAGACCCTTTGGTTGTGACATTTAAAAGATTTATTTTAATGTATATTGGAAAGTGATCACTAATGTCAGTTTTAAAAATACCTGTCTCATATATATATATATATATACATATATATATATATATATATATATATATATATATATATATATATTATATATATATATATATATATATATATATATATATATATATATATATATATATATATATATATATATATATATATATATATATATATATATATATATATATATATATATATATATATATATATATATATATATATATATATATATATATATATATATATATATATATATATATATATATATATATATATATATATATATATATACATATTATATATATAGTCTTGCATCGTAGTCAGAAAGTTTTACCCATAAACTGTTGTTTTAAAGAGCGCGTTAATAAGCCTGACCAGAAAATGATAAAAAACTTTAAAAATAATTTTTTTTTTTAAATGATAGACTGCCTGCCCAAACCAAACCCTCAGTCGATGTAGCAGCACTCCCTTGCGAGTCAGGCTATTTGTCAATCGATGTAGCAGCACTCCCTTGCGAGTCAGGCTATTTGATAGTCGATGTAGCAACACTCCCTTGTAACAGCAGGCTTTAAGATAGTCGATGTAGCAACACTTACGCATGTTTTAAAAATGTTTTTTAATAAAACAAAAACAAAAACACCACTAATTAAAAAAAACTTTCTAGTCATTATTATTGCGATTTTTTTAAAAAACAATAAAATTTAATGTACTTCCACATTATTTTAATTGCTTTGACATTTCGATGACAATCAAATACAGCTTAAGAGGCGAGGTAATAAAAATGGTAGTCGAAAGAGGCTTTTATTTTTGTTTTATGTTGATTTATGTTGATGTCAAGGAAGAAGCCGGCTCAAAGGGAAAAAAAAATAACTTTTGCCCTTTTTTAAAGTAATTTTGTTTTTAGGATTTTATGGCAAAACCTAAAGATGTTCCACTTGCATTGCTTGTTAGTAAAACTGATGTAAATGAGACTTTTTTATGCTATTCCACTTGAAACATACCCATCAAAACAAAATATAATACTTACTGGTTGTTTGTTATGAAACATTATTATATTATTTTAGCAATAATAAAATAATGTGGAACTAGAATGTTGGTTTTATTAAATTTAAAACAAAACAATGAATTTTTGAATAGGTTTTGCTTTTACAAAAAAACGCATTCAAAGTTACCCCATTTGTTGGGTAACTTTGATTGACTATATATATTAATAAAAGGATTTTGTATAATATTATACAAAATCCTTTTATCTAAATAATATTTTGAATTTGAATTATGTAAGAGTCAATCTAAGTACCTATATTCATTTTTTTAAACTTCAAATATTGTCAATAGTGAAGGAAGAGCAAGTAAAAATATCTCAAAAACGGTCAAAATAATCCCGGTACATATAAACAAGTAACTTCACACTGTTTTTGTTTGAATGGAATCTTAACGACACAAGACTTCGGTAAAAATGACATTATGCAACACAAAATAAATTTATAGAGATGCTATTGGAGATTATAACTTTCGCTTGGTATTATTTTTTAAAAGTTAGTAAAGATAAAAAATATATAAATATAAATTAACATTTATTTAAAGGGCGTGTGAATGACACTTCACAACTCACAACAAGTTTATGTTGATATTTATAGCAATTTTCATTTTTCCGCTTATTCATTTGCGTTCTTAGTTTTTTTACAGGGTTATTCATTCTTATATGCGCCTTTATTCATTCTTATATGCGCATTTATTCATTTTTATATGCGCATTTATTCATTTTTATATGCGCCCTTATTCAGTCTTATATGCGTATTTATTCATTTTTATATGCGTTTTACAAAAGCAATTGTAAAAATGCAATTTCAACAAAAAAAAAAATCATTTAAGAAATTTGTTTTGAAAAAACAGTTTATTTTTTCAAAACAAATTTTTCTTATTTCCAGGTAAACGAGGTTAAAAATACTTAAAACGAAGACTTTTTACATTCGATGATGGTTTATTTAATTTAGTATTAGTTCTTTGTTTTCGATGTTAGTTTATTTAATTTAGTATTTGTTCTTTGTAATTTTATTATTAAATTTCTTGATTGATTAAGTAATTATTTATCCAATTATTCATTTATCTAGATTTAAATTTAATTATTTATATTTATTATTAATATCAAATTATACATCCCTATGGATGGAATAGAAAATAGCAGTACCAATCGTAAAACAAGGAAAAATGTTACAAAAGAGCACATTAAAATGCTTAAGCATTTAATTAAAAGAAATAAATCTACAAGAAGGATTTCCACTTCTCTTAATTTATCGAAGCGCACGCTTCAAAATCTTGTCGTTTAGTTAAACAGAGGATAATTCGACGACATGACTGCATTCAAGTCGTCTTCTGATAAAAAACGAGGTGAAAGACCTATAAACGCTCAAATAAAAAATATTATCGAATTATGCGTACAAGAAAACAATCTTTGCACGCAAGAAGCAATAAAAGAAAATCTTTCTGCAGCAGGCTTCAACATGTCTCAGCCTACTATTTCAAGAAAACTCAAACGCTCGGATTTATTAAGAAAACGTGTTGTGCATGTGCCAGAAGAACGAAGTTCAACACGAATTATTAATGCACGCTATGCATTTGCAAGCAAAATTAACGGAATTTCAAATGAAAAACTTATTTATTTGGATGAAACTGAAGTTAATGTGCACTCTAACAACACTTGTGGTTATTCGCTAAGAGGTACGCCAGCAATTTTACAGTCATCTGCAAATCGTGGCAATAATCTTAGTTTAATTTGTGCTGTTTCAACAATTGGAGTGACTGCTAATGAAACAAAAACAGGAAGCTGGAATGCAGATTCATATTGTACTTTCGTAACTACAATGATGGCACCAGCGATTAGGAATGCATATGTGAAAGCGCCGGTGCTTGTTATGGACAATTGTAAATTCCACTGGAGTCTTTCTGTTAGTCAAACACTAGCCTCTCATGGTATAGCGATTAAGTATTTGCCAGCATACACGCTACAGCTTAAACCAATAAAATAATTTTTCTTCTTCTTTAAAACATACTTACAAACAGGGAGAAAGGCCTCGAAATACGGATGAGGTAATCAGGAATCTTCAAAATATTATGGATACTACAGAGTTTAATATAGTTCCATTTTACAACCATATGCGTAGTTACATAAATATAGCGCGGCTCGGCAACCATTTTTTAAATAAAATAACAATGAAAACAACCTAATTTATATTTTAAATATATCTATATAAAAATTTAAAAGCGTATTTATTGTTTGTATTAAATCATATTAGAGATTTTATGGGTGGTTGAAGCATATATAAACGCGCATATAAGAATGAATAAATGCGCATATAAAAATGAATAAATGCGCATATAAGAATGAATAAAGGCGCATATAAAAATGAATAAATGCGCATATAAGAATGAATAAAGGCGCATATAAAAATGAATAAATGCGCATATAAGAATGAATAAAGGCGCATATAAAAATGAATAGACGCGCATATAAGAATGAATAACCCTGTAATTTAATTGGCAAGTAAGAGCTTTTTGTTTTTTAAAAATATATATTTTATTTATACTTATAATTAATTTATTTTTAATGTGTTTTTAATTCAGATTATTTGAAATATTATTTGAATTAATTAATTTATCTTATTTTAAATTATTATGAAATACAAAAAGTTTAAATTATTATTATTTGTTTCAAATATTCTTTTAACTTGTTTATATTTTTAAATTATACATTTTTCAGAAAATGTCTTTTCAATCGTCATTATCTTCTCTTCACTGTCTTTTGAAAATTCAAAATATGGCTCAGTTAAAAATGAAACTTATGGATTACAACGCCTCAGTGAGAAGAATCAGAAAATATTGTAAAAAAACTACAAACGAGGAAATTCTTTCTCACATAACAGAACTAGATTACAAAATCCAAGATATACTTAGCATCTACAAAAGTGAACTGGGTTCAGTCACAGATGAACTAAATGCTTACATTGCAGAAAGGAATCAGCTACATTTAGTTGCAAGCGAATATGGTGCGCTTTGTAAAGAGGTTCAGAACAAGTATGTATACATATATAATTCAATATAAAATGTTCATATAGTTTATTTTTTAATAAAACTTTTTTTTTAATAATTTTTGCGCGTTCTTTATTTTTTTTTTTTTTTTTTTTTGTATATAGATAACTTCTTAACTTGTTATAGATAACTTATGTAAATGCCGTTTTTAGAAAATTATTTAAATGAATAAAACTTTCACTTTCTATTTGAAAGCAGTCATTAAATACATTAAATTTCTGTTTTTTTTGTTCATCAAAAAAATTTTCATTGGATAAAACCGTAACATATAATTTTACGGAAATCAACCGAAAATAAAATATAAGTACGCTTCCAGTGGGGAGCGTAATTATATTTTACCGTATTTAAATAAATACGCCTTTAATGAGCACACAACGTCAACCCAACGTTGAATTTATGTTGGGTTATGTTGGGCAACAATGACTAACTAAATCTAATTTTGCAATAATGTTCGTTACACTAACGTTATTTTTAGTTACATTAAGGTTATTTCTTATCAGAATTATAACTAATAACGTTTTATCAGAATTACAAATAATAACGTTGGCTAAATTAAAGTAAATACATTACAATGTAAGTAATGCTTTTATTACAACGTTTTATTGCTTTACTTACATTATTTTTAATGGGTACGTTTTTTTGACAAAATTTTCGTCTATAATTCTGCAAGGCAAATACTTTATTTAATAATAACTTATGTAATATATTATTACATTTAATAATAATTTTTGTAATATATTACACAAATTTTATATAATTATAAAATGTGTAACTATACTTCCTCTTAAAGTATCAAACTTTGGAACATTTAATTTTTTAAAAAAATATAAAATATTAAACTATAATTAAAGGCTGTAAATTTTTTCAAAACATAGTAAGTTTTATTAAATTTTTAGAAAGTGTTAGTTTACATAAATGCTTCCCTAATCAGTTTGGCTGCGTAGTGCAGCGGCTAGCCCAATGCACTAAAACGCTTGCAATCCGGGTTCAAACCCCATTGACTTTCAACTTTTAGTCAAAAAACACGTTACTTTTGATTCGAAATTACAACGAAAAATAATGCTGGTTTGCGCTGGAAAGTCTAACATTACTATCTTTTCCATTTCCAACGTTATTACAACTTAAATAATAACGTTAATTAACGCTGTTCCAACGTTAGTGTTCCAATCGGCTGTTTAAATAAAAACACATTTAACAGCGATTCCATTCTACGTGTTAATGCGTTTTTAATCAAGAAAACAAAAGTTTGCGGTATTTATATTTTAAAAATAGAAAATAAACTTTATTATAATATTGCAATAACCTAACTGTGTTATACAATTAAACTTTTGATAATTTTTATTTATATTTTTACAGATATAGCGCTCAAAATAGACGCGAATGAGCTCACTTTTTAAATGCGGTATTTCATTTTATAAAATCTCATGGGACTTTAATAAATTTTTGAATTGAAAATATTTTTTTATACAAATTTTCCTGAATTTAAATGAATGACTTTTACTGACTGCTTTAAATAAATGGCTTTGTTCCAATGGCAAACAGCAAATAAACCAACAACAAGTCTAACGAAAATATTAGCTCCATACCAATTTATGTGTAAAAAGTGCCAAAAAGTGCTTGGCAAAGCTTTTTTTTTTTTTGTTATTATTTTTAGGTGCCCTAATAAGACCTAACGTTCTTGTCACAGAACACCGCGAAGTACATTTAACCAGGAAGTTTACATCTCCTTCCTTACCGTGACGCACAAATATGTCCAGAGCTCGTTTCAAACCTGGATCTCCTGCTTATAAAGCAGGTGTTCTAACCACTGCGCCTCGGCCGCACTTTTTACATACTTTCAAAGCTTTAGTAATTCAAAATCAAAAAACGAATCAACATCATTTTTTATTTGTTATTATTGATTGTTTTTTATATTTGTCTTTATTGATTGGTTTTTTTTTTTTAAATAAATGTAGTTTTAGTTAAACATGTATTTGTAAATTTCCTTCTCCCCAAATGTCAGTGTAGTTTGAAATAAATTTTTTTTAAGCAAATAAAGTTTCATAAAAATTAAAAAAAAATTATTTGATTTTTATATATTTATATACAGCTAAATATTCTCTAAAACTTTAAAAAAACATCTTTTTTTTTGTAAATTATAAATATCCAAAATCCTTAACTTTTCCATTTTACCCCATTTTACTCAATATTTCTTTAACAATACAAATTAAATTTTTTTTTTTTTTTATACACATAGATTAAAAAACTGCATTTCCTCGAATAAGGCATTAAGTCGAGGCATGTGGAATTGTTAATTAGTATCTCAAGTGTAACTGTAAATATTTTTTTTTTTAAAATTTAATCTATTTACTCTCTGTAGTCAAAAATCTTAATTGCTGTCTTATGCTATATGCTGACGACATCAAACTAAATAGCTAATTTAGTGACACAAATAATAGCAAAGCCCTAGCTGTTACCATCAACAAAGCTTTTCTTTGATCAGAAAAATGGCAGTATCGCCAGTAGTAAGCATTTTACACTTAGAATAGCACCTGCTACATTTTGTAAACAAAATGTAGCAGGTGCTATTCTATGTGCTGACCGGTCTGGTCAGCACATTGCGCTGAGTTAATAAAAGGAATTTAAGAATTCCAAAGACGTTTTAATTAGAAACAAGACAAGGTTAGTAAATTTTTATAATTCAATAGACTTTTTGTACTTGATTTGGAAATACTCAAAATTTGTTATCTGAAGCATGACTTAATTTCATATTACAAAATACTGAACAAATTAGTTTGTCTTTATGTATTGAATTTCTTTTTAGATAATATTTTTGTTAAACTTGACTTTATTTAACATTTATATTTAAATTTGAGATTATAAACTTAAGTTATGCAAATATAAGAATTAATATTTTTGCTCTCTCAGAGTTATTATTATTTGGAATAACGTTTGATGTTGTAAATGCCATTAATGTTAAGAGCTTTAAAACAAAAAGCAACTCTATCAATTTTGATAAATACTGCTCTGGGTAACTGAACTCCGGGTAACTGCTTTTTGTTATGATTATATAGCATTTCCTAATTTTGTAAACTTTTTAGTAAATTTATTTTATTGCTGACACGCTGTCAGAATTCAATTTATGTTTTGGACCTGTGTGTCCTTTAGAACATGTATTGCTGTTATAATAAATTTAATTCACTCAATAATCCATTATCATTAGAACACAAATGTTTAAGTAGAAAGTTGTTATTTTAAAGATGCTTACGATCTGAAACTACAACAAATATTTTAAACTAGCTACATTATGTAAAATTTAATGTAAAAGTATGTAAAATTGTGTCAAATTTTATGTAAAATGCAGCATTTGCATATTTTTAATAAAACTAAAGTTATAGAATACATGGATTTATAGACTCAGTTCCGTTCCGCAAGTTTTCTCAAAATCGTTTAAGTTTAAAATCATTCCGAGCAATAAATTGTTAAGCTAGTTTTTAAATAAGTTTTATTATGGTTTACACTTCTGCTTTTATTGGATGCAAAAGTTCAACCTTTAAGCTAAACAAATGGGATAAGAAAATGTTTAAACAACACAGTTGTGTATGCTCTTAAAGTCTATGCACTTGTCTTGACTATGCACTTTTTTGCGAGTAAATTAGTTATTCGATAAATTCATAACATATTAAAATCCATTTTTCACAAGGAAATGTTAACTTTTTTGTTTTATAGGTTCTACAAATTTTCTAAAGACAAAAACTCTGAGCGTCAAAATCAGTGTCTCAAACTGTATGCTTCCTTCATTTTACTGAGGGTAGACCAACTGAGGGTAGACCAACTGATATCCAAACAAAACTTTTAATCTAGGATACAATTCAATTAAAAGAGAGACTTAAATTTTGCCATTCTAATCAAACATCGTTGTCCGTCTAAAAGACTGCCACAAAAATAAAAATAAAAAACAATTGTAAATTTTATACAATCATTGATCAAATAGAATTATTTCATAAATTGCACGATAAAATTATGCCACTAATTAAAAGAAGACTCCCACAAAAAATCTGAAAATGTTTGTCTTTTATTGTTTAAATCAACCCTACAGAAAATGGGTCCAAAACCAAAATTAAATTCAATTAAAAAAGTTTTTGTTAACTTTAATGAAATTGTAACTTGAGAAATGTCTGAATATTTAAAAAAAAATTATTTTTATGCCCGATATTGAAGCTTTGTTTGTTACATCTAAAAGATATAAACATTTTGATAAATTAGCATGCGTTATTTATTGATTAGAAACTTTTATTAAAAGGCCAAAAAGTTAAGAATTACAAAGTGTTAAATTGTCAGACTTTAAACACCAAAACACTCTAATTTTTGATATTAATTATATAACTCCTAAATTCTTTATCAAAATAAACTTCCATAGTTAAATTTCCACAATATTGGAAAATAAAGAGAATCTAAATGTTTCTTTTTTGTTACACTAAGCTGACCCTGAACTTGAAAATAATATTCAATAGTCTTCTTTAATCTTATTATGCCATTAGTTCCTTCAATGTGGTTATACTTATTAAGATTATGCACTTTACCAGTTATTGAGAATGGGTATTTGATTTCAAGAAGACAAGAACGATGACATGAAAATTCCATTTCCGTATCAGGTGTTACTAAAATAAATTTCATAATTACCATTGCTGGGATTTTAAACTTTAAATTTAAATGTTTATGAGATTAACAAAATATTTTTTTTAATTTTGTTTTAGCTTGAACGTTATTGTTCATCCTATTTTTTATTTGCCATTTAGGCCTAACTGTTTTATAAATTATAATTAACAAAACAAAATACTTAGGACATTTTTTATTAGTATTATCACGCAACCTTTTTGCGAAATTAATAATGTTTAATAATAATAAATTTGAAAGCAATTGATCTACCTTGTCTATACTTAAACAACTCAGTACTATTAGCTTTATCTGTTGTAGCAATATATAAAGCTCGAGTTTCATTATCAGTCAAATAAGAAAATTATGTCATTTTTATCCAAACTTTCTTTAAAAAGTTCAGCAAATTCCTTCAAATATGGAATATCAAATGTTACTAATGAGGTATTCTGTTTTTTCTTTCGCTCAATCAGTTCAACATTCGGAATAATATTTTGAATTTTGTCAAACTTTATACATCATATTACTTAATGCTTTTTTACTAGGTGACATTACCTGGAAATTCATTTTGAATTCAATTGCAATTTTACGCTTTGTAGCTGACTCCTGTGTTGATTTTTTTAAGTAAGGTAATTAAAGTTAAAAAACATAATTTGATACTTTTTTAACTTCAATTAGTTATTTTAACTAAAAACATTCCAAGAAGCTTTTAAGCTAGTGCATATTAAATTAGAAGCACCCGTAATTGCTGCACTTTTGACGCAAAATAACAAACCTTCAACATGATTACAGCTTCCTAAAAGTCCTGCAGTGCAAATACAATGAAGATCATTAACTTCACCGCTAATATTGTCACCTCTATCTTTTCGAGTAATAACCCAAAAATCATATTGCTTAACATTGATTTGTTTGGAAGACATACAATTGCTTTGAAACTAACAAAATAGAGAAAAATTGACTGTTTTTTGTATTTGATTTCTCCAACAAAACTATTTGTAAAGTAACGCTATGCTTTTCCTTGTTTGTATTCGGATTCTAATTGTTGTACATTTTATTTCCAATGATATTACTGGAAAACCTTGAAATGTCTGTAAACTAAAGTCTTGACCAATAAATCATTCCTTCTATTTCTCTAATCCAAAATATAGATAGGTCAAAAGAATCTGGTATAATTTCGCCCTCTACAATCAATTTGTTTTTATACTCTTTTAATGTAAATTTTGGATATGCTTTTGCTTGTGGTTGACAGGCATATTTTCTTAACAACAGGAAAGCGCTCTAAATTTATAAACAATATATTTAAAATTATTTTTATAACATTTATATTACTTTAATATAATACACAACTAGTTAATGGAAGTTTTCGAAATTAAAAATTTTTTTAAAGTATATAAAGCTTATTTTGCTGCTAATACATCAGCAGATCAATTGACAAATTTTTTCCTCAAAGACAAAATTGACTTTATGGCAATAGACCTCATCAAGCGTAGCATCCCTAAATTTTCTGTTACTTGTTTTGAACAATTTTCATTTGAGAAATATAATATGATATACCATGACCTACTATATAACACGGCCAGATTTGTTGCCTTGAAGCCAAAAAATTAGAAGGCCGATTTTATAAAGTTTGAGCTTCAAAATGGAAACCTTATTTTGTTATTTGTTATGTGTTATTTTGTAAAGATTTAAGTTTAAATAATTTACTCTTAGCCTTTAATAATTTTTAATTTATACTTTAATTATAATATTATGAAAATTCTTAACCTTAAAATACTTGGAAAATTACCCAATAATAAATCATAGTCACATTATATGAGCTAGCTATTTTAGCCATTATTATTCATTACAAAATCTTTTAGTCTCAAAATATTGGTTCAAACAACATTAACAAGAATATGTTAGTGAAACATCATTTCTTTTAAAAATGTACACGCTAATTTACTGAGAATAACAACACTATTACAAAGTTAAAATTCTTTTTTATCTCAAAAAAACTAAATACATATACTATGTTGTTATGGTTTTATTAATTGGTTTTTCTTGGTTTGTCGAACTTTAAAGGCAGCAACTTCGTTTTTTCTAATGTTTCCATTTTTAATTTGTTGCTTATTGTTAAAATATTTGTTAGTAAAAATTGTGTTTATTAACTTCCTTCCCCATTCCTCATGTTCTATACACATAAAATCACTATCATTTGGTTTATATCTTTTAAGCGCCAATATGGATGCACTTTTTATATTATCGGAATACTTTAACAATAATTTTTTTACAGTGTCTAAAATTTTAAACCCATTACAAACATAGCCAGCTAATGCTTTAGAAGGTTTTGTTAAACCACCACTTGATAGAATTTTAAGATAATCTGTTAAGAGTTGATTGAAACTTAATGATGTCAGACAGTTAGCACAATCAGATTTATCTGCAATCTTTTTTGTGATGTAATCAGTTACATTGATAGCAACTTCGTAAGAGTCATGACAGAGCTTATTCTCATGAATATCATTGCTAAACTTTAGAGCAGAGAATTTGAAAGCTTTTTTTAAGTTAGCAGGTAAAAATTCATTTTTCTCATAAACATTATGCAATAAATTCCAAGAAATTTCACCAGCTTCAACATGAATAATATCATCAAACTCAATGAAATCGAAAGGTGGAAATACAAACCGTTTTGAATTCAATAAATTATTCCTTATATTTTTCAGTCAATGAACACTGTCATATAATTTGTAAACACGGTGTCCCATAAATGTAAAAAATATGGCATTATCTTGTTCACCAAATTTTAAACGTAGAACCTTGAACGCTGAAACATTTGTTACATGATTGTCAAATGTTATAGCTCGTACATTAAAAGATGCTTTATATAAAGTTTCTAATGTTTCTTCTATATGTGAACTAATCTTAGAACCAGAAATTTGAAACTCTGGACAGGCCTTAATTACAAAAAGGATTGATTCTTTCAAGCTAACCACCATGAACACAACTATACCAGAATAAAAATTACCATAATCATCATCACCATTCAAACTTCCTCCGTGATATTGGACACCCTTTTGTAAATATATCTCATCAATTAAAACAACACAGTCAGCATAAACACTACCATAACCCAAAAGTAATAATAATCCTGAAATTGGATCAAATTTTTGCAACTTCTTGCATATAAGATACAAATTTAATAAGCATACTGGCACTGATCAATTTACAAACACTGCCTTCTTGAAACCAACTAGGTAATTGAACTGGAATACCTTTTATAAAGAAGCTTTACATATAATTCTTCATCAATTGTAATACTCTCAATGTTAGGAGTAACATCCCCATCATCAAAAAAAATTCGAAGATATAACACACAATTATCAATTCTTTTAAATAAAAACCTCTGGACAAAAACTATCATCAAGATAGTTTATGTCCATAAGGGTTTTTATTTAAAAGAATTGACAATCGTGTATAATATTTTTATTTGTATCATGTTTTCTGAAACTATCTATTTCATTTAATAAAGGATGACTATATATATACGAACTGCTGGGGGCCTACGTAAAACTGAGCTTGATTGAATAAGAGATGGGTTTGATAAGATGTCTTGGTTGGTAATAATTGTTGGTATAGAATTTTTGGAATATTTCAATGTTATACGTTTACCTCTTTTCAAATATTTATCTTCAAATTGATCAATACATATCGTTAAGTTTTCTGTGAGGCTCAACTTGGTGAACAAACTTAATCAAACAATTTAGAAGATCTAAATGATTGCTATTGGGAAAACTAAAGACAGTTTTGTATGGTACGTAGTTGCTGTCAGTAGAACATTCCTCAATCTTTTGTTTATAATTACTCTTACAACCAACAACACAACACTTTTTCGGCATAGCAAAATAAACTATTACTTAAATTTAAAAAAGTTTAATTATTGTTAAATCGGTTTTTTTTAAACTTTAAACTCATATTTTTTTGGCCCTCATACAAATCCGGCCATGTTATATAGTAGCCCATGGGACATACTGGTACTAAATAATTATAAAAATTTTCTAAGGCTACATATCTTTCTAGCCAATTTTATCACTAATTTTAGCTGTAAGCAGAAAATAGTGTTGAATAAAACGAGGTTTTTAGTTTTAAAAAAAATGTAAACCATACATTATACTGTTTTTGTGAGAAATATAAGAGTGGTGCTGCATAAACTAATTTACACCTGCTGCATGAGCATCTTTTTGCATGTTCTACCTAAATCAGGTCATGTTGCAGCACTCCAATCAATTATTTTGCAAAAAAAAAAAAAAAAAAAAAAGTTAAGACTATATCTACCTCTTTCCCACACCCCTCAGTGATATTAAAACTGTTTTGTTTTTGTTTTAAAGACTAGTATTAGAAGCAAACATTGTTTCAGGTAAGGTTTACTAAAGGTACCGTTTAATTTCTTATTTGCAATGACATAAATAAATTTAATAAATTGTTTTTAAATTAAATATAAATAAAAAACAAACATAACACATTATTTAAGTATTTGCCAACATATAGACACAAAGATCCAATCAAATATTGAAAAAAAAAACAAAAACAAATCATGTTCGACATTTGAATGTCAGTTAAGGCTCTTTATCTTCTTAAATCTTCTATTTCTTTTTTTTACCTTGAATCAACTTCCAACTAATGGGTTACTTCTAAGAAATTGATCAATATTTAATTAAATATTTAATCAATATTTAATCAGCAGTAGATTAAAACTATTCAAAAGTATTTAAGATAATTTTTCTCTACCTATTGAATCAAATTTTAACATGAAGTGCTAAGGAAAAACTACGCGTTATCAGGAAAATGGAGATTTGTGTCTTCTTAGAAAATTGAGAACATCTAGGAGTCCTGTGGTTTTATAAACAATATTATTGAAAAGAATAAAATATTATCAAGTATTAATGACCAAGGGAAAGTTGCTAGGTGGGAAAAAATACACCAAAGAAAAGTTAGTTAAACTATTTCAATCGATGTTTGGCGGTAATAAAGACAATTACTCGCAAACGTTACGAAGTAATATTATTCAGAAATATTATGTAAAAATGCTACATAATTATATCCGAATGTTATATAACAAAATACTCCAAATTTTTGACATTAAATTTACTTTAGGTATACAATATAACTAATTGACATATACAAATACAACCTTTACTATTCTCTATACGTTCGTCTTGTAAATAATAATCTTCTTATCCATATATTTCTCTTACTCTTTACTTTAACTAACCATATATCTTGCTCTCGCTCTCGCTCCGTGTCCGGTCTTCTTCTTGTTTTTATATCATAAACAGACGCTAGACGCGTCTACGGTTACTTAACAGGTTAGTATATCAACAACGTTTCTGTCAAACGCTACACGCTTCGTTAGACTTTCGTGTTCTGTTTGAGTGGTTTTGTTTGAAACCTTCGTATTATTACCTACCAAAACGGAAAAAGTCAGTCCTCGGACTTAAAAGCATCATCAAAACAGTAGAACTTGTAAAATCTTTGCCAACAACAGAATCTTGAATAAATAGGAGAATCAATAAATATCTGCAAAACAGCAATATCTTGAAAATCAGCAGAGTCAATAAATATTTGAAAAACCGTAAAAAAAAAAGTAATTGGAATCATCATAAAAATCATTTACTAAACAACCTCATTGGAAACATAAAACTCATTGTTTCATACAACACTAAAAAAGTTCATCATAATTATCGTAAAATCATTGCTAAACAGCATTATTGCAAACAGCAAAACAGCATTATGAAAAAAAATCATCGTAATTTTTGTAAAAATTTTGCTAAACAGCATTGTTGCATACAGCAACACAGCACAAAAAAAAATCATTGTGAAAAAAATCTTGCTATTCAGCATTGTTGCAAACAGCAACATTACACAAATTATTGTAAAAAATCTTTGCTAAACAGCATTATTGCAAACAGCAACACAAAACTCAAAAGTGCAAAACAGCATTAGGAAAAATAAAATCCTTGATTAAACTAAAGGAAACAACTTTAATGTAGGAAACTCGTCGTGGTTGGGGTCTCAATTCCAATCCAGGAATCTTGGTAATAGAATCCTGCCATTACCGTTAAAAGGTAATTTTCTAGTCTCTATGAACAGCTTTACTAGGTGGAGATTTGTAAACATGTGCAGAATATCTTTTTCCTTTAGGGGACATAGATGTAGACTGATATTATCGGCATGGTAATTATATAAGATTATTGTCGTTGTTCGTGTTCGGTAGGCGTAAACATCTGCCATAAATGTTTTCACCGAGGCATTTAACGTATGCATATTGTGATTACATGACGTAAATTTAGGAAATTAAAAAACTCCAATAGGTTTCACCTTTGTACAATCATATACTTCAACTATAAATATTCCAGTAATAAATGGAGGTAAGACGAGTAAACATGAGAGAATAATAGGAATCACTATATTCTATAAGTTGTTTATATGGGCAATCGGTAAAAGTCTATTTCTGATCAGCTTTTTATCTTGTTGTCTACTAGGAACTACCATTGATATTGCGGAAACATGCTAGCTTTTTTGTGTTTTCTCTAAATATTTTTGTACAACTTGTTTATCGAAAATGTTTTCATCTAGTTCCCACGAGTTTTGAGTCGAAGGAAAGTCATTCCATTTAACAAGGTATTGAGTTTTACCTTTCCTTTGCCTTTTTCCTACTATTTCTTCCATTTTATATATATCTGCATTTTCATTTTCGTGATCTCGCTAGCTATCCAGCTAGCTCACTTATAATGGGCCAAGTATGTAAAACCATTGCAAACATCGGCTCTTTTTTCCAATGCAAACCAACGTTGATTCAATGTCGTTTGGTTAATGATAAAATTATTACCGAAGGAACTAAAAACAACTAGCAAATTTATATTGGTCCAATGTATGAAAAAACATTGCAAAAAGTTAATTGTTTTTACGATCTAAACCTAATATTAATCCAATATATATATTTTGACATTGATTCAATGTATATAAACTAACGTTTTTCCAATGTATGTAAAAACATCGTAAAAATTTGTTTGTTTTTACGGTCTAAACCCACCGTTGATTCAATGTATGCGACCAAACATTGCTACTTACATTACACTACTAAAAATAATTAATACAACCTGTTTGCTTAAAATTAAGTTAGTAATTTAACCTTAAAAATATACTAAAAATATGTAAGATCTATATAAGAATAACAATTAAAAAGCACCCTCTGTTTTGCAACGAGAAGATTAGTGAGGAAGTGAGATGACTTAAACTTACTAAAATAGCAATTTTATAACCGCAAATTGAAAAAAATATTATTGGTATATTTCTAACTCCTAAAGTAGTAAAATAAACGCTTAAACTATATTTAATAGTGTTATGGATTTGTAACTTTATAAAAAAATAGCATACAAGGTTGATTAATAAAAATAATACAGTATAATTGTCTTTTAATGTTTAAAATATTAATGTCAGCACTAATTTTTTACATATATTATATTTATAAACAAAAAAAATTTAGTTTTAAACAAATCTAATAACATTATCTTGTTAATAATATAAACAATTTTTACTTCTTTCTAGCTTCTTTTTTTTTTTTTGCATGACACAATTTTGCATTACTACCACTTTATATTATCTATGTAGTTGTTATATATCTTTTTTTTGTCTGAGTGTCTTAAGTTCAATAAAATTTTTTTGAATAAAACGAAAACAAGTTGTCTTATCTTAATGTGGTGGACCAGGTAAGAATGAATCATTTAAAATGCATTTTCAAAGCTTGCAATTTTCAGAAACTTCATCGCAAGCAAAAACTTTTAAAGAGTTTAGCTGACAAGTTTTTGATTGCTTTCTAAAGTAAAAGAATTATTTTTTATGCAGTGGCTTCAGTTGTGATAAAGTCAGCTAAATTAGTATGTCATCATACACTCTATGTACAAATACAAGTATGTCATCATACACCGCATCCGACTTTAAAGCTAGGAAATTGTCATGGGATATCTTACTTTAGTTGAAGGTAACCATAGAATATTTGTTCTTTTTCTTAAAAAAAAGTCATGAAAGGTGAGATATTTATTCTACATGCAACATAATAGATATGAAATCATTGTTTAAACTTACAGTCATAAACTTAAAATAATGTTCTGTGGTTTTATTTACTACACATTGTTTTTAAATAGAATTCTGTAATCTTTTTTTAATAAACTACACTTTTTTTAAAAAGTAAATCTTATTTGAATATTCACTTAAGCAATGCAATAACTGGTAGCAGACTTTTTCGCATCATCTTTTTTTTAATAAGTCCACTCTTAAAAAAGTTCAGGTAAATTGACTGAAATTTCAGAAAAATTACCGAAACTATTGAGTGCCATATGAAACCAGACAATGAATAAGGTCTTAAAATCCTGAACCTAAACTGGTTCAGGATTTTTTCCTTATATTATTCCTGAATTTAAAAAAATAAATTATATTTTTAATGAAAACATTTTAGTAATTTATAAACTATTAGAATGATTTTGTATTAATACAATTGTTAAATTTAGGTACATATGGAAGGGGTATATCTTGCATATTAGGCTCAGCCAGAACCTGTTTCATTATCAAAATTTTCTTTTGCCTTGTTCAATTAAAATATGCGGTGTTATTTTATCCCAATGAACCAAAAAATCATTCACCTGTGGAAAATTAAAACAGAATTCTTTCGGAGACTAAGATAGTATAAAATTCTATTCTCCTCTCATTTATTTATATAGTTTCGCAAACCTAGTAGGCAAAAAAATATTTAAAAAATGAAAATTGTATCTTATATGAATCACAAGATATATCTAATTTTTGTAATTTAATAATTTAACATATTTTTGAGAAAAGTTTAAACAATAGTATAATGATATTTATTCTTACGGGTATGCCTAGATATTTAAGCGGCGGAAATGCTCTAATTACACTGCCCAACAGTGATTTTGTATCGGAACCAAATTAGTTATTTCTTATGTATTTCCATCTGCTTAATTCAAAAATGACATTAAAAATGACATATTAGCTCTAGTTTAAGAAATAAAAGCAAAAATTCTCTCTCGAGGCAAGGCGATCGCGAAATGAAAAATCCGGAAAAATATCAGGTCTTCAAAATTTTAGTTTACGCAAAACCGTGTTCTTTGTTTTCTAGGGGGGGAATCAACTTAAATTTGTTAGGGAAAAAGTTATAAAATATAAAATAATAAACTTACGACTGCAAAAATAATAACACTCTAGTACTAACTGCATTATAAAAGTAATAGCACTATAATAGTGTAATTACTTTTATAACGCAATTATAACTTTTATAATTCATTCTTAGTTCAAACAACATAAGTAATCCCAAATTTTAATTGAAGTAGAAGAGCCTCTAGAAAAATAGAGTGGATATTTAAATAATATTTAAAAATTTTTAAGAACTTAAACAATTTAATAAAAACGTACTATATAAACAGTAAGCATTACGAAAAACGTTACTAATAGTCCGTAAAAACGCACGTTAATTATAAAATCAGCCAATAAAAAGTTTTTGTTGATTGATTTTAAAATTTGCGCGCGTTTTTAAGGACTGTTTGTAACGTTTTTCATAATGCTAAACTTTTCATAAAGCTCGTTTATATTGTTGTTTTAGTGTATTTGTAAAAGTCCCTGAAGTTTTTAATAATATTTGATTATCCACTTTAATTTTTTAGATGTTTTTTACTTTGATTAAAGTTTGAAATTACTAATGTTGTTTGAACAAAGAATGAACTTTTAAAGTCATAAGTGCTTTATAAAAGTAATAATACTATTATAGTTTTATTACTTAAATAATGCAGTTAGTGACTGGAGTGTTATTACATTCGTAATCGTAAGTTTATTGTTTTGTTTTGCTTTTTATAACTTTTTCGCAAACAAACTTAAAATTATTTGCTTATATATATCTTTGCCTTTTGCTGTTCCTATGGTATGGAGAGAGCCTAAAAACCATACAGATGACTGCTATTTCTGCTTGACCCCACCCATTAAGGCAGGTTTGTCAATGAAGAAAATAGGATCAGTTAAATATCTAAATCTTTCCTCTGCCACTCGACCTATTCCTCATTCAGATAGTTTACCAGATCCTACTCCACCACAAAGTTATGAGTTAGAAGCAGAAAATGAATACGGAAATAATGTAGAAATAGAAGAAAACAGGCCTTTTACATCAAATGATCCCGATTTTTTGTTAACAGATGTTGTGCCCCACAGATTGAGTCAAGCAGAATTAAGTGATCTTGTTTGAGATCTGGACTTGTCACAGGAAAAGGCAGAACTTCTAGGGTCAAGACTAAAGCAGTGGAATCTTCTCCAATTTGATGTCAAGGTTTCACATTATAGAAAACGGCAGCAGAATCGGCTTTCTTATTTTGAGAAGAAAAATAATCTTGTTGCTTGCATTGATGTTTTTGGATTAATCTATTGTCTTAATTTGAACTATGACCCAACTGAATGAAGATTATTTATAGACTCATCTAAGCTAAGCTTGAAAGCTGTATAACTGCACAACGGAAACCGTCTTCCTTCTGTTCCTATTGGCCATGCAGTTCACATGAAAGAGACTTATATAAACATGAAAGTTTTCCTCAACTCAATTAATTACAATAAACACAAATGGAAAATTTGTGGTAATCTAAAAGTCATTGCTATACTTTTAGGAATGCAATTAGGGTATACTAAATACTGCTGCTTTTTGTGTATGTGGGATAGTAGAGACAAAAGTTCACATTATATAAAAGAAGCCTGGCCTGCAAGAAATCTCAACACAGAAGAAAAAAATGTTTTGCTGAACCACTTGTGGATCCAAAAGGTTTCTTCTTCCACAATTCATATTAAGTTGGGTTTAATGAAAAATTTTGTCGAAGGTATGAATAAAGAAGGACAGGCTTTTAAGTATTTAAGAAACAAATTTCCAAAAATAAGTGATATAAAAGTTAAAGAGGGTGTTTTTGTTGGACCACAAATACGCCAGCTTATGAAGGATCCAGCATTTGACGAAGTTTTGAAAGGGCAAGAAAAAGAAGCTTGGGAAGCTCTTAAGGGAGTGATTTGTGGATTTTTAGGCAACAAAAGATGATAACTTCATTCAATTGGTAACAATACTTCTGCAAAAATACCATGAACTTGGATGTAACATGTCCCTCAAGATTCATTTCCTCCACTCACACCTAGACTTCTTCCCCCCCAATTGTGCAGCTGTTAGAGATGAACATGGGGAAAGGTTTCATCAAGTTATTTCTGTAATGGAACAAAGAAATCCGGGTCGTTGGAATGAGGCTATGCTTGCAGATTACTGTTGGTTTTTGTGTAGGGATGCTCCAGAACTAGTCTACAAAAGGAAAGCAAAAAGATTAAAATCTCGTGACGATACCCCATAATAATCTTTAAACCTATTAACTTGATGATCATGATTTTTTTATTTAAAACTATTAGAATTTTTTTTGTTTAAAACTATTAGAATATATCTGTAATAAAAAAAAGCCAAATGCACTTTAAATGTTATTAGAATATGTAAATTATATGTCATATTGTTTTGTTGTAAATTAACTGAAATAAAAATTTATTTCCATTGTATATCTCAGAAACTAGAGCTAATAAAAAATTTTTGTTGTTATTTTCTTTTTTCTCAGCCCAAAATTAGTATAATTTGAATAAAATTGCTAAAGATACAAAAAAAAAAAATATATTTTTCTGTTGCCCAGTGTTATTCATCAAATGGTGGCTAACAATTTCACAACCCATTTTTGATAGATAGACTTTGGGTGCTGAAATATACTGAAGTTTTTTTAGTATATATCAACACTCTAAGTCATCAAATTGCAACTAACATATCATATTTAGTTTTTCTTTTGAACAAGGAGTTGTAAAAAATATTTTTTACAAACAATTTTTTAATTAAAATTTTTTTCAACATTATTTGTTAATATTTTACGTCTGAATATTTAGTCAAATATACAAAACATTCTAGCAACTGATAGTTTAAAATCTTCTGCTGAAGCAAGAACTCTTTCCCAATGAGTTTGCACATGAACACCAACATATTTACGCATAGATTTTAATCTTTCTTCTATGTGACCATGAGAAGTGATTTTTTTTTTATTACTAATTAAAAGCTCTGTATATGGGTAAAATAGCTGTCCTAAAAAAATAACTACTTGTAAAATTAGGCTCTGTAACTTTCATAATCAATTAGACTTATAATAATACACTTATACTAGACTAATTGCAATGATAATAATAACAATAACAAATGTTAATCAAATGTCTCGAAAAGCCTCACATCTCCAAGCTTTTTACCAAAATGCAGTTTTGGAATGGCCGTGAAAATAGGCTAAGTTGGCTTTGGTTATTGTGGAATGATTTCTAATCATATATATTATTATAACTTTTTATAAAGTTAAATGCAATTCTTGGATACATAGAAAATTTTTGCAGTGCTTCATTTGCTTGTGACTTGTGTATGGCGACTCATGATGAAATACCAAAAGTATTTTGCCAGTAATCGCTTACAATGATGACACGGCAATTATAAGAGCAACATATGAAGCAACTTAAAAATGGTATCATTTTAGCTAATAAGTGTGACGTAAAGCGGTCCTAAACTTTAAAAAAATTTGAACTGTTACCATCTTGTTTGTAATGATTCTGCCGATATAATGTATGGTATATTATCTTTGCTTAGACAATGGTCAGCTCAGATGCTAATTTTATTTTTACATTTTTACCTGCATTATGGCTGATGTTATTAACAAAACAGATAGTTTTAAAATGTCATTTGTACCTATTGGTAAAATAGCTGACAGATATTGTTTTATTGCTAAACTCCGTATCGGCACATATTTTGTACTTTGTTTCAGATCATCATGAGGTTTTTAAAATATGTTATCTTGAAAAAAGTTTTTAAAATATGTTATCTTGGAAAAAGACTTTTATACAAACATCACAGAATGATTCAGTATGATACTACAATAGAGAATAGCGGATCACTTTTGCATAAGATGGTAATGCCGTTTGAAGCACAGCATAACGTCTTTAAACATCTTGCTCATATAATTTGTAACATTAAAAGTGTTGTGCTTTCTCTTGCAAATAAACATCAACTCTGCAAATAAACATCAACTAAAGAACCTGTACTTCACTCTGTTAAGAATGAAGGTAAGCCATCTTTTGTAAAATTTAAATAAATAAATGTTCATAAAAATTTTGTTTATTTTATTAGACTCAAGTGACTCGTCTACGTCTATCGTGATCAAACTGGCTCAGTGGTTGGAGCGCTTGCTTTAAAAGTAGAAGATCCAGGTTCGAAACAAGTTCTGGACATATTTACGCGTCTCAATAAGGAAGGAGGCGTGAACTTCCTTGATTTAAAACGTATATGTTTAAAAGCAAGTGACTTAAAAGATTATAAAACTTTTAATGCTGTTCATAATTTAAAACCTACATTTATATGCCAGCATATTATTTTGCATAAAAATAATAAAAAAAATAAAAACAGAAAAACATTTTTATACAACATTTTTGTTGGTACTGCACTTTAAAAAAATGTAGAAGTTTTAATGTAGGCTAGGATTTGTGATATGCTTTTAATTCGGTATAAGGTAAAGAACTATATCTTTCAAGTTTTAATTTTCTAACTTTAAAGCTAAAAAATTATATATTAAAGGTAGAAAATTGTATGACAAATCCTTATTATTAATATTTAGATAATAATTAAGGTAACATTTTTTACCTTAGTAGGTAGAAAAATTTGCCATGTTAAAGGTTTACCACATAGCCTAACTAAATGTTTCAAAGTTTCGACGTTTGTAACTTTTTTTTATAGAGTGTGATACAGGAATAAGTGATTTTAAATCGTCTTAACTGTTAAAATTGTACCTGTATTTTTCTTGATTCCATTAAAGACACAACATAATGTAAATAGTGATATAAAAATTATCAACTAATCCAGCTCAGTAAACTTTATTTAAAATATAGAGTTAATTAAGCTCTATCAGCTAACATTTCGAATAAATATTATATGAATAAATGATATTAAGCATATATACCCATAGACATCCACCTAGTTATACAATCGATGAAATGTTTGGACTTATAACATATTTTCATATAGCATATTCAGACATTACAATCTCTGTAACGTAACTGAATTTATTTACTGTTGATGTCTTTATTTTATACTATATTTATCATTTTTATTCGGAATACAAAATATAAATGCGCTTCAAAATAATTGAAACTTACTAACCAAAAGAAACACAATTTACTTCTGTCATTTCAATATTTATCCTAAAATATATGCAACTTAACTTAGCGAAATTAAAAGGTTCAAAATTTGATGCACTCTAAAGTAGGTTAAGCACTAGTATAGAGAGGAACTTAAGTGTGGAAAAACTGCATTGAGGAACACGTAAAAGAACTAAAGAAAACGGCCCGCGTTTCCAGACTAGTTCATTATGACTGTGATCTGAGCAACCGTGAGAAAAAAGACTTTTATTTCAGTTTATTTAAAACAATTAAAACTTAATTTTATCAAAAAATAAAGTTTTTTATTTTTTGGAACGATAAAATTTGTTTGTAAAAGAAATACATTCGTTTTAAAATTAGTTCTTTTTGTATATATTTAATTTTTTTTTGCTCTAAATTTATTGGTTTAATTAAACAATTATATTGATGATGATACCATTGAGCATTAAACAACAATTTTTAGGTAGCATTTTGCCGCATCAAATAACTTTTGTTAGAATCCGATCAAGTTTGTTATATTTTTAAGGTTAGGGTTGCAACCTAAAATATAAATATGCAATTTAATATAGGTATGACGAAGAAAATGCAACATGCATCAAACTCAAAGACGATTTTGCAAAAACACACCGTCTACTTACGATAAAAGATGAGCTTTTGTGTGAATTGCGTAATGCAAACGTCCAGCACCACAATGAACATTTGAAAACATCTAAAGAACGAGACGAACTCGTTAGTCAAAACACAACATTGAAAGTTATTTGCAATGATAAATCTCAAAAGCGTATTTATTTTGAAGCTTATGTTCAAAAGCTGACGGAGCAAATTCATTTTGAGCGTGAAACTCATGAGAAAGTAACAGTTTTAAAATTTTCTTTTAAAGTATAAATTAAATATGCCATAAAACAACATAATAAAATAGATAACAAATAAAAAATTGAAATATAAAACTGTAAATTAACTTATTTAATAAAAAGAGTTTTACTTTAAGAGAGTGCTTTTGTTTTAAGGATGTTATTAGTCTGAGGAATTGCAATGCCACTGGCAAGCAAACTATTGAAATTGCAAACCAGAAGATTTGCGAGATTAACCTTGTTATAGAAAAGCATCAATTACAATTAAAAAATTTGACTTCGCAACATATACGCGAATATAATCACTTTTGTGAAAATTTAAAGAAACTTTATCAAAATAAAGTAAACGGCAACACTTTTTTTTCTTTTATTATTATTTCTTTTTTTTCTTTGAGGCTTTTAAATTAAAAAGATAAAAAGATAAAAAAAAAAAAAAAAAATAGAAAAACGCAAATTAATTGTTTAATATTTCGAACTAGTAACATTTAAAATTTTCAAAATTTTATTTTTCAGCTACAAGTACTTCAAAAGAACACAGAGAAGAAAATTCAAGATCTTCAACAACAGAGATCTCAACAAACAGAGGAAAACATTCGTTTGAAAGCAGTTATTGAAGAAATGAATGCAAAGATTAATGAACTGGAAAAAAATGTAGTTACTTAGTTTTCTTTATTTTAAGTTGTTTATATTATTAAGATAAATTGAACGTATTTTTTTTTGTTTCATCATTTTAACTTTATCAACTTTATTTATTTAATAATTCGTTTTGCTTTTTTTGTTTTTTATTTTTGTTTTCAAAGCTTTTTTTTGGTCTGCATAGGTTTTTTCTTCGCATGAACAAAATACAACTCTAAACCACGCACTTGAAGATGAGCAACGCGCTGCTGCAGCACTTCAGGAACTTGAAAAGAAATTTCAACTACCCCATGAATATTACAACACTTAAGTAAAAGACAAGTTTAACGTTGCTTGTAGTGATAACACACATAAAACATAAAGTATTATCACAATTAACAGAAGCTAAAGCAAATCCATTAAAAGTTTTTTCCTTTTTATGTAGTAACAAAAAAAAAAAAGTAGGGGAAGGTGGGGAGAAGTCGGACACGTGAGTTTTTTTTTAGGGTAATTACAATACCTTTTTCACCAATCAAAATAATCAAATGGCGACGGAAAAAAGCAGGAAAAATTTTATTTTTATTTTAGTCCCACTTCGCCCCAACGTAAACACTTTTTTAAGGTATTTTTCAATATTAGGATTACATAGCGCACGCAGGAAAATAAATTTCTGCTGAAGAAAAGAAACTTAATTGTTTACATTAAATAACAGTATTTAACAATCCTAATTTGAAATTTCAGGCTGTCCCACTTCTCAAGCGTCCCATTTCACCACACTCTCCCCTACATATGATTTTAATTTTTTAACATTTTAGCGGTTGTTAGCATTTCAACAATTCTTAATTATTTCCTATTTTGAATTTCTTAATTTTTTTAGTTATTTTCTCTCAGTTTTAATTCTGATCTATATTTTGTATATTTATATTATATATATATGTATGTTACGGTTATGTAGAGTTTTTTTTATGTAGAGTTTTTTTTTATATGTGGGGCTCGGCGATAAAGCAAACTGTGCCTTTATTTTGCTCCTGCCATTAATTTTGATATATGCATATGCACTGTAAACATTTTTTCACAGCGAAATAAGTTACACCAAAAAAAAAAAAACAAAAAAAAAAATACATTTTTGTGTAAAATATTTATGTGTAACTTTACATTTTTATATAACAAAATAGTTATAAAAGGGAATGGGTAGAAAGAAGAAATGAAGAGAAAAAAAAAAATTGTTCAAAAAAAGAAACCAGGCATCTTCTTATTTTTAATCCATATTATTTTATAAAAGATAAGATTAAACAAAAAAACTTAATCATCTTCTAAGTATGTCCACTTGTTTTTAATTTTTTGTTTTGTTTGTCTGAACAATTATTTCTGCAAACATTTTGATTTGCAGAAATAATTTTGAAAAAAAAAATAATAATTTTTTTCAAAAAAAAAACATCTCTCTTATTAAGGTAATAATAATATTCTTATAGCATGTATTGCTATTGATACTGGTACTAAAATGACTTTGGCACCAGCAAAAAAAGTTATTTTACATAAAATAAACTTATTTCTTATTTTTACGGTCAAACCCTTTTTAAAGTAAATTATTCATAAAATATAAAACAGCAATTTAAATTTTTGATTTTTTTTTTTTTTTTTATTATTTACTTAAGAATTTATTTTTAACTTAAGAATTAATTTACTTAAGAATATTATTTACTTGCTTTATCAAAAATTTATTTTTATTTTGGTATGGCGAAAAACTGTAAAACACAAGGAGGTTTAATAAACAGAAGAAGGTGTCACGCGACTTTTTAAAAGCTAGTTTTCCAAACGGCAGTCATTTTGGTTAACCCAAAACATTTCACGGAACTTGAGTTTACTAAAAAATTTGTTAAGTTCTAGTCAAATGATTGAATTATTCGTCAGTTTATGTTCGGCAGCTTTTACTATCATATAAAGAAATACATGCTAACTGATTGCCTTTTTCAATTTATTCTAATAACAATCGGAATACTCAAAAAAACATTCAGATATTTGTACTTCAAGACGATCCTAGAAGATAATGTATTTCAGATAGTATAATAGATTAAATTAAAAATGCATAATTACAAGTGTGTGTGTATATGTTTATTTATGTGTGTATATATGTTTATGTGTGTATATATACATATATATATATATATATATATATATATATATATATATATATATATATATATATATATATATATATATATATATATATATATATATATATATATATTATATATATATATATAGAATATATATATATATATATATATATATATATATATATATATATATATATATATATATATATATATATATATATATATATATATATATATATATATATATATATATATATATATATATATATATATAGTATATACCAAATATATATATATATATATATATATATATATATATATATATATATATATATATATATATATATATATATATATATATATATATATATATATATATATATATATATATATATATATATATATATATATGCCATATTACATAGTAAGTAGCGTTTAAACGTCAAAGCTCCTCTCCAGCAAATTAAAGGCTCAAGATTTGTAAGGAAGCAAAGACTTTTTTTAGACTGCTTAGTGAATATGTGAATAATTTGTACGAATATTCTAACGTCATTATAATGATTATTACAACAAATTTTGATTTTCTGTGTTGTTATAAAATTCAATTAATTTTCCAAAGATATAATTTGCCTCATTAATCAGCATAAAAACCAATTTTTGTTTATTACGAAAAAATTTATTCAAACTTTTTTGGAGAAAAAAAGCTAATGTAACAGTTCAAATGAACATTACGTTTAACAGAATCAAATTCTATAAATTTAAAGAGTGAACACGTGCTTATGTTTTGAATTAAAATTTTAAAGACTCTTATATACAATATTATAACGTTGGACCAACGTTAGAGGTCGAGGTTGGACCAACGTTAGTTTGACGGTGGCCTGCGACTACGGGCTGACTTCTAAATCCACGTTATGGCGACGTCAGTTGCCGAATATCAGCCAACAATATTGACGTATATCCGACGTTGGGCCAACGTCTGTGTGTTATCTGGGATTTTATTACAATAAACAACAAAATTTTAAAAAAGAATGGGATACTATACAAAGTTAAACCTATGTTGTCCCAAGATAATCTTAAATCTTTTCATTTTTTTAAATCTAAACTTAACTTACGTGCGTAAACATTTCAGGGGCAAGTAAACACAAATCCAATTTAAATACTCTTTATTAAAGTCAAAAACATGCACCAAGATTAGTTTATAATAAAGATAAAATCACCCATGCTGAAACTTTACTAAAAATCTTGAATGCACTAACTATTTACTAAATCATCATCTACCAAAATATTCTATTCATGGTTAAATACAATCTTTGACCAGTCTCACCGCAATTTTATATATCTTTTTTAAAATTAACTTTAATAGATATATCACAAGAACAACATGGACTTCACAGTGCATAAAAAAGCAACAAAAACGATTTTTTATAGCCTACCGGGGTCCGTACTTATATAACAAAATAACATCCAAAAATATTGAACTTAAAGCATTAAAAAATATTACAACGTTGAAAGAAAAAATATTTAAACACCTCATACATATCATTAATTTTATTGACATATAATAAACTTAACAACACGATTTATACTAAAATATTTATGTGAATTACTGACTGTATATTTTTTAACTACTTTTAAAAATATATATTAAAGATAATTAGGTTTATTTAACCATTTAAAGAGGTACTCGATGATAAGACGTTATTGTCTTCAACGAGACTTCTTTACAACAACATGTTTATATTTGAAAAAACAACAGTTTTTAGTTTGTATTTAAAAAAAATACTTTTAATTTTTATGATAAAAAACGTTACTTATTCATTTAACGTTATATTTTGTTTTAATTGTTAAATTACGTATTCTTATGTTATGATATATATTTCGTACTTTGCATAAAACTATGTGATAGAATTGTAATGTAATGAAGTGTAAATATATTAAAGCTGTATATGAAAAAAAAGAAAAAAAAGGGATGGTTCTGGTTTATTTGATTTTTTGATGAGTGGTTATTTTGCGTTTTACTTATCTATAACTACGTCAGGTCAGGTTATGCTGCTACTGGTAACATGTTACCCAGTACAACCTGCTTTATGACCTGCTGCCTTACAAGATACTTGAAACACCCCCTGCCTTGGGGCTCTTGATTGAGTTAAGGCTAGAGATGGTGTCTTGATAAAAATAATTATCATAGACAGATGTTTAACGCACACAGCTCCTGTTTTGTAGACGGCCTCGTAAGCGAAGATTTAAGGGGTAAACAGGTTCTATTTGTGGAACAGCCTCACTTTCCTTCTTTATTTATTAGGCAGGCGCAGATGTATTTATGAAACACTGTTTTATGTTTAGGATTTTGAATGCTAGATCCTGTTGACTTAATACATGGTTTTTGCTTGTGTTTTTATGACTAGGCAACTCATTCTATTATCTCATAATGAAGGTACAGTTCTAAATCTCAGTTTTTTGGTTCTGAGGCCGGCTGGTAGTCAAGCTACAAAAACTCTGCGGTAGCTCTAAAAGAGGCTGATTCCATCAACAGGTGCGAAATAGTAGATACTAACAGTATAATGTTGCGCATGGAGGGTGGCCCATGGTCGCACTTTAGTATACATTATCGAGGCTGTAATTTAGAGCCCTTTGTTATGGTTTAGTATTTATCAATATTAATGCGCCAACTTCTTGGGCTATTAAATAATGTACTGAGTACTATCTATGCTTTGAGTCAAGTTCATTAACAAATTTAAAAAATGACTAAAATACCAAAAACAAAACATAAAAATAGTAAACACAAAAAACCATCGTCGTCACGAAGGTCTCTTAACCTATTACTCACTAATATTTGTGGTCTTTGAGATAGTTTTTTTTCTGTTAAGTCTAATTTCTTGCAGAGTTACACCAGACCTACTTGCTCTTTGTGAGACTAATTTAAATTCAACTTTCTCATCTTGTGGTCTTAGTGTTGACAGTTATCTTCCTTTAATTCTTAAAGACTCAAATAGTCACATGCGTTTACATTTGTGAGAATTCAACCATTTGTCAGGAAACAAGTTTTGAATCAAATGACTGCTTTTTTATGTGCTTTCGTTAAGCACTACTTTACTCTATCGCCTTTCTTTTTGTTTTGTATCGGCGTCCTTCATCTCAAGATTGCGCTCTATTTGATGTAATTTTTGATCAATTAGACCAATACCTTTCTTTTTATCCATCATTCAATATTGTTGTTGTTGATGACATTAATGCTGATCATACTGAATGGCTTGGCTCTAGTGTCAGTGACACTGCAGGCATTAAGGCTCACAACGTTTGCTTTTCTCAATCTCTTACTTAAATAGTCAACTTTCCTAGTGCTTTCCAGACAACCCAAATCATTTATCCTCAATTTCCCCACATATTTTTTTTTCCTTTTTTTTTTCTTCTTTTTTTAGTTTACCTTATTTACATGTCGTGATTAATATGTAATATAATTGTATAAACTTGAAATATGGAAGAAGATCATATCAACCTTGTCGCCAGAACCATATAAAAATAACGATATAAATATAATATAAAATAATAAAGGTAGTTTATAACAAAGAAACAAAAAATTTGAAACTAATAAATGGTTAAAATAATATCTCAAAAATGTTTCAATATTTTATCTGTTGAAAAACTAATTTCCTATAATTTTTTTTTAAAAATAGAAAAAAAGATAGATGAATATAAATTAGGCTGGACAATTTTATTCCAGACATACAGACATATTTATTCTTTCCTTTAAAGGTAAATAGGTCTTTAAAAACATGTAATAAAGGGTCGTTCAAACAGCAAAACGCAAAACATAAAGTATTATACAAGTTAAGTTCATAAACGTTGATATATAATCAATATAAGTTTTCCATGTCATGTTTTTTCAAGAATAATACCTCGGAATTTTAAAACTGAATCTTTTTTTATTTCTACTTCATCAATATAAAGTTTAGGTAAACCATTAGGTAAAAAGGTTTTTTTGTTGATTTGTTGAGTAGTGAAAAAGGAATAACTTTGTTTTGTCAATATTTAAGGTTGTTTTGTCAATATTTAGGTTTTTTGCATTTAAACCAAGTAGAAATTTTTAGAAGTTTTATTTTTTTCATTCATGTTTATAAAATTTTTTTAATATCTTTGTTTGATAAAAATAAATTGGTATCGTCCGCAAACATAATCTCATAAGGTTCAAGGCCTTAATTAGATCGTTGATGTATACTAAAAAGAGAAGTGTACCAAGAATGGAACCCTGTTGAATACCACATTTTATTTTAATTGTTTTTTTCTTTTGAAAATCAATAAGAAGTAATTCTTCTCCGAGGTAGACGATTTGCTTTCTATTTGACAATTTTTTACTCAACTTATGTCTTTTTATTGTCAGTGCTCAGTTTCTCCACATTCATCCTTAGGCGTTTTTGATCAAGGTTTAATCTCTCTAAAACTATTTTCTCATTCTTTTTCATCATCAGAATTCACCAATTATTGTACTTCTTTCAACTACCTTAAAGCTGACTCTTTCCGTGATTTTCTTTGTGATGGCCTTTGGGTAGAAATATTTCGTCTTCCTGCTGAAAAATGTGCTTCTTATGTAAAATCTTGGATTCAGGCTGGCATGGAATCTTTTATTCCATCTCAACTATTCCCAGTCAAACCTCACACTTCTCCTTGGTTTACCTTACATTGTGCTGCTGCAATTTCTGATCGAAACCATTACTTCCATATCAGCAAAACAAATCTTTAGAAAACATACGTCTTTTTACTATTTCTAGAAACCATTGTAAAAAGGTTTTCACTATCGCAAAGTCCCGCTATACTCAGGTTGTGAAATCTCGTATTTCATTACAGAAATTAGACTCTCGTGACTTCTGGAATCAATAGTAAGGGCAAATCTGTTATTCCACCTATCTTGTAAAGTTCAGTTTCTGTCACCTCACACCTCACCTGCTGAATTATTTGGTTAAAACGTTTCATCAAAATTATCTCTTGACTCCACTAGTTGCGATGTATCTAATATAGCCAAAAAACAGGTTGATCCATTGCTTAACATATGTAATACTCCAGCCTCTGTATCTAAAGTAATTTCCTGCTTAGACTCTTCTTCACCTTGTAATCATGACAATATACCTGTTGTAGTCTTGCAGAAGTGTTCTCCGGAGCTGTGGTCAATTCATTAAAAAGTATTTAATATTTCTAAAGCTTTTGATAATGTTCGGCGTGCTGGTCTTCTCTCTAAGCCTTCATCTTACGGTGTCTCATGTAAAATTTTAAAGATTATTGGATCCTTCTTTTTCAATTGTAGTGTAAATGTTGTCCTCCATGGACAGCACTCTTGTTCATAAAAATGTAACTTCAAGAATATCTCAAGGTTCTGTTCTTGACTGCATACTCTTTTTAATTTACATTAAAGATCTTCTAGATATTCTCTCACATCTAAAGTTGTATTTTTTGCTGATACTAAAATTTATTCTTGTCTTCATTAAAAGCTAATACTTTTTGATTGCTTGAAAAGGGAATATGGCTCACAGTGGATGATGAACATTAATTCAAATTAAACCTAATTTTTTCAGTTAATCGTCATCGCAATAATTTAGATTTTCTTATATTTATGAACGGTGGTGTATTCGACGAATCATCACCCTTCATTCTATGGGCTTAACTCTTACTTCCAATTTTTCTTAAAAACCGTATATCAAATATGTTTCAAAATTAGTATCTTCTAAGGTTGCATCTCTTTATCTGGGAATTTACACATTTTTACTCCAAGAATTTACACTTCCTTATTCCGGATTCTACTTTATATCTATATTACGGATTCTATTTTTTATCTATATTCCGGATTCTATTTTCTATCTTCCTTATTCCAGATTCTATATTCTATTTATATCTCTATAAATCTCAAGTCTGTCCTTGTATGGAATGCTGTTGCCATATCTTTGACGGATCTTCAAAAGTTGCCCTTTCTCTTTAGATAAGGTACAAAAACGCATTCTAAACATAGTTTGACCTGCTGATACAGACGACCTCCAGGCATTACGACATTGTCATAATATTGCTACTTTTTCTTTTTTCTACAAATTCTATAACGGGCACAGTTCTAAAGAGCTAACGTCTCGTGTGCTATTTACTAAGCTTCATTCTCATGTTACTTGTCATTCAATTAAATCTTATCCTTTTTCTGTAACTATTCCCTAGTACTGCAACAACTCTTGTTTGTTTTTTTTATTCCTCAAGCACCAGTTCAATGGAAATCGCTTCCTTTAACTTGCTTTCCTGATTCATACAATTTGCAAATTTTCAAGTTGTCTGTCAATTTTTATTTTTCTAATAGTGATTAGTTGCAGCCTTGTAGGAAGCGATGATGTTGAAAAATAAAGAAAAAAAACAAACTCAGAGTAATATTTAACATTGCAAGCTACTATTTAATAATATATATGTAATATAATTAATATATGTAATATATATACTATAAGTCTTTGTTTATTTTAAAATATAAATTGTTAATGTCAATTTTTGTTTCTCAATTCTCTACGTCTTTCCCTTAGAAAGGACGGGGGTAGATCTGCATACCCTATAACTTAGTTATGCTGTATTAACTCTACATAACTAATAGAGTAAGTTAACATAAAAATTATTTATTTTTTCAAAAACGTATGAAAAAATATGTGCTTCTTCTTTTTTCCTTCTAATCGCAGCCAATCATAACCAAATTTTTTGAGCTACTTGGAGGAAGTTAATAGTTTATGCAGATATAAATAAATTTCTAAAGCATTTTTACGTAATTATAAAATTAATTAGTTCATAGTTATATAATTTTTCTCATAATGACCAAATTTCATTAGACATTAGAATTATTACCACACCGAGTGGTAATAATTCTGACAGATGTAAGAATATTTGTAAATTTCTAATATGACTATATAGCTAATTAGTTTAAAATTGCGTATTATCTTTCAATATCAATTTTTCTTATATCGTTTTAATTTTTTTTAAATTTTGGAATATAAATATCACAACAGACAAAACAAATTTCTTTTTTAGAATTCCTATCTTCTATGTATTTTTTCTCTTTGTTTATTAATGTAGTAGGGACGTCTTCCGTACACTTCTAACAGCAAAAAACTGAAAGCGCAAACTCGTATTGAATTTTCAATTGGAGGAGGTGATAAATCAGGCGGAGGTAATAATCTACTTTCTTTTTCCATTCACCTAAATTTATTCAAGCTAATATTATTTAACCTGTACATTATTAGAGGAACAACACATTTATACACCACGTTTTTTGATCAATATTTTTCACTAATTTGGCAAGTTTTTTTTTGTTTACAATTAAAAGTTTTTGTTGTAAATAAAAAAAAAAGGGCCTTTAAAAATTTTATTTTCAGGTATCCGTTAGAAAAAAGTCCTAATGTCATATTTATATGAAGTTGAAACAAAGAGCAATTACAAGTTGTAAAAATGACACATTATTGAAATACAAAGATTCTTACTTACTTTAAGTAATCTAATAATATATTTTTCAATTTGATTGGTTAAATATCGTGTTATAAATTTGATTGGTTAGAACCTTAAAATAATTTTAATTTTATATAAAATTCTCTTTAGCTTAGTCGGAACACGGAATTAAGAGTTATGAAATGAATCAAACTAGTACAAATACCTCTGTAAGTTAATATTTTATATTATGATTATAAAAAACAATATTTTTATTATACATTTACTATTTACATGGTATTTGAGGCATTTATTATTCAAGTAGTATATATATACCCCTTAGTAGGAATCGTAATGCATTGGATAGGTATTGATCAGGCCAATAACTGAGGAGTGACTTGAATGCATTACAATACTATCTAAGATAAAAGTTTTCAGTATTTAAACTGTTCAAGCATTATTAACATTAGGTAGTAGTTGAGTAAGAATTGATATACTTGATTTCTGTATATTCTTCACAGCCAAACGGCGTATTATGTCGGTTTTTGGAGAGGTTGTTCTTAATTTTCCACAGCATTAAGTTAGATTGATGCTATTGATTAATGACCATGCAATTATCCTCGCAATCTGAGATTTTTTAGTGCATTTCCAGCACTCATATTTTGCATTTATAAGTATTTGTTTTCAATAAGTAAGAATGGTTAGATTGTTTTGCCGATTAACGTGTATTAAATGAATTAATAAAACAACTTATATATATTGTATTGATTTTTTTAAAAAATTCAAACAATTTTTTTTAATTTTTGGATTTTTAAAATAGGTATTTTATAGCTTTTGTTTAATTTAATCCATTACTATCAGAAGATTTATTTATCTAAAGTTTCTCTTATAGAGTTTGAAACCTAAAATGCTAATAATTTCTTTCTTTTTCTACTTCTTATTTGTGTGTATTTTTTCTACTTCGTATTTGTTTGTATTTATTAACTTTAGGCTCACTTTGACATTATGTATGTTGTTTTTTTAAGGTAAAACCTTGTTTCTTAAGTTAATATTTTAGTAATACCTTTTCATAATTATTTCTTTGGTAAAAATCATGTCAACACAAAATAAAAAGCAACAAAAATAAAACTAATACAAACCTAAAAATAAAAATTGTTAATAAAAATATAAATCATCAATCAAAATATAACAAAAAATCTAGCCCAACTTGTGAAATGTAAATAACAAACTGCTCAATTAAGTAGTTTGTTATTTTCGTTTAAAGAAACCAAGTTTAATTAGATAAGAACTTTGTTCTATTTTTTTGGAGAGAAGGTCACTCCATCGATTTAAATAAGAACAGGGGTACTCCAGCGATTTTAAAAAAACTTATCAACTTATTCTAACTATTCAAGGCAGAATATTATTTTGCTCACATGTTTTTTTTGTTCCGTTAATATATTATTAATATGATGTTAAAAAAAAGTAACGAATAAAAATTACATTAATATTTTTATTACAATTTATTTCGAAAAAAAATTTATTTCCATTTGTTGGCATTTTGGTCGACATATTCGATTTCAAAAACATAACAGTTAATTTAAAAAAATATATTAGTTCTCAATTGAGTTATTTAAAAATAATTTGATTGTGAACTAATGTATTTTTTAAAATCACTAATATATTTTCTTAAGAGCACTACGTGCAATCGTTTGCGCACTACACAAGTTGCGTTATAATACTGTACATTTTGCACACGCTTTGTTTTATGACAGCCAAATTTATAAACTCCAAATTGATGATAAAAAAAAACATTTATTAAAAACAAAATTAAAAAAAAAAAAAAGTATTATTGTTTGTTTGCTCAATTTGTTGTTTGTCAGGGTAGCGTGTCATTAATGATAATTATCTGTACGAAAAGAAATCGGAATATTTTTATGATTTCATCAATGCTGATATTGATAACCTTCTAATTTTCTTTTCCAATATTAATTGGAAAAGAAAGTTTTCTTATGTATTCATTATTGATAAATATTGCAACATTTTCTCTAATCATATTAGAATTGGGATAGATCGTTTTGTTCCAGTAAGAAAAATACGTCATAGTAAAAAGAGACATCCTTACCCTAAATATCTCAAGAAAATGTTAAGTCGGAAATTATTATACAATAAACTCAGTAAGTCTTTAACTATGTTAATAATAAACTAAATAGTCATAAAGGGAATTACCCTATAAAGAATAAAGAAAATAATTTCAACTTAACTTCTACATACAAAGAAACTGCTAAGGTTTTTAATAAACACAATGGAAATTTACGGACGATAACAACTATTCGCCAAATATTACTAATTTTTTTAACGACTCGATAAACATTGAAGACATTAATTTTTCTTCTGAGGCGGTTTACTAAAATTTAATTAATCTCAAACCGAGTACATCTAATAATCCTGACGGAATACCGAACATTCTTCTGAAAAAGCTCTTGTTTTATGTATTCTACTTTGGTTTATATTTGATGCCAGCTTTAAGTTAAATAGTCTGCCACAACAGTGGCTTAAAGCTTTTGTTTCTCCAGTTTTTAAAAAAGGAGCAACATCAGACCCTAATAATTATAGACCTATTTCACTCACATGTTGTCGTGCAATTGAAAGAATTATCAACTCGGAAATTATCAAATCCTTAATTCTCCATAACCTAATAGGTAATAATCAACATGGTTTTCTCAAGAAACGTTCTACATGCACTAATCTTTTAGAATCTGTTAATGATTGGAGTATTGTACTAGACAATAAACTAACAACAGATGTTGTATATATCAACTTTCAAAAGGCATTCGATTCTGTATCACACCTTAAATTGTTAGCCAAACTAGCTTTATTTAACATAAGAGGTAATTTAAAAAATTGGATAGCTGCATTTTTTATGGTGGTAAACTGGTAAAAAAACATGAAAAATTAGGATTTTTTTTTAACTGTTTTGTAATCAAAATTTATCATAGAGTTTATTTTAAAAATTTTTGCGGCGCACTAAAAATTATTGAAATTAGTCAAATTTAATTTTTTCTCTATTACTTTATTTATATCTGCATGGAACATCCAGGCCTGTATGAATTTTTTGCTTTTAAAAAGCAGTATTGCCTATCACCCTAGAAGTTATAGTTTTAAATAACATTTTCACAGATAAACTTTTGTTATATAACTTAACAGTGTTTTTATAAAATTTTCTTTACTATGCTTTGTCTATTTTGTATTGCTCTTTTATTTTTGATGGCAAATAAAAAAAGTGTTGTTAGAAACACAAGAAGAAGAAGAAGTTCAAAAAATCAACACACAGCTCTAAATAATAGTATTTTGTTAGCAGAATCTAACATAAACAATGAACCTTGTCAAGTTTTGTTTTTAGCCAATGGAGAAAATAAAAGTCTAATCCATCAGCTAGTTCTTCAAAATTAAATGGATCGATAAGCCAACTCTTACATATTAAAACTGACCCTTAACTGACTTTTTTTTCTATTTAACTTTAATAAATTCAAGGAGCTGTTAAGTAAAGTTTGTGCATGTCTCCTTTGCAGCAGCAGAGATGTAAATGTTAGTCATCAAGATTAAGAAAAAAGAGGGTTTAACACTAAGTTTTAATTTACATTTTTAAACTCTTTCTGGATTGATAATTGTTTTTCTTCTCCTGATATTCAACTTCCAAGTAAAGATAATCGTGGTAAAAAATCATCCGAAGTAAATGTTAGATCAATTATTGCATTTCGTGAACTGGGTAAAGGACATGAAGTACTAAAAACTTTTGCGACTATTATGAATGTTCCTGCACCACTAGTCCATTCAGCATATGATGACATTAATAAATTTCTTTTACCTGTTTGTATTGACAGTGCTATTGCTAGTATGGGTAATGCAGCCAAAGAGTTACGGTGTACACTAAAACCTGGTAATATTGAAACCAACATTGCTGATTGTAGAATAACTTTGGATGTTTCATGGCAAAAGCGTGGCCATTGTTCGCTGAATGGCATTGTCACTACTATTTCGACAGAAAACAAAAAGGTAATCAATTTCAAGGTTTTTTCAAAGCTTTATAAACGATGTTTAAATTGGGAAAATCGAAAAGGAACTAATAAGCACAATAAATGGATCAAAACGCATGAGTGTAAATTGAACCATGCCCAAAGTTCAGGAGCAATGGAATCTGCTGGTGCAGTGGAAATATTTTCTTCATCTATTGAAAAATTTAATAATTTGGTACTCCCATTACATTGGCGATGGCGATACTGAATCCTTTAAAAAAGTTAAAGAATCAAAGCCATATGGTGAAGATTTGGAACCTATAAAATCTGAATGTGTTGGCCACGTTTAAAAGAGAATTGGCACACGGCTTCGCAAACTTCTTGTTAGCATGAAAGCTAAAACCTTATCAGATGGCAAAGGACTTATCGGAAAGGGAAATTAATTGATAATATTGTTAATAAAATGCTGAAATATTTTGGCATGGCTATTCGTCAAAATTCTCTTTCAAATTGAAATGGTAACAAAAGCACTGCTTTGCACATGATGAAAAAAAGAGTACTGACAGTATTGTGGCACTGTAGAGGTATTGAAGATCCTGGAGTCCGTCACCAATTTTGTCCCCGCACTAAGGATAGTTGGTATAACGTCTGTTCACAAAAAATCCGGACTGATTTCAAATGTACACAAATTGTTCTAAATTTTGAATTTTCGATTCGAAAATTTTAAATTTGATCGGTCAACAACAACAGTTTCATTTTGTGGCAAAATTGAGTTTAAATAATTAATTCAAATAAACATGGAGCATCTAAAAGAGAACGATGTTAGAAATGTGATTGGAAATTTTTATACACAAAACATAAACAGTGGAAAGAAATTTACAGTGGATCAGTTTAAGAAAATGGGAATCGCTAAATCTTTAATTTATGACATAATTTAAAGGTCTGAAAATAATTTGCCAATGAAAAGAAAAATTGGTTGCGGCAGAAAACCTTTTAAAATCACACCAGAAAAGATAGTCCATGATTGCAAGAGCAGAAGAGAGAATCGGGATTTCGTAAAGAAAAATGGCACTAAAATATAAGATAAGCGTTTCATATGTAAATAGATTATTAAGTATGCATGGACTGAAGTATACCAAAAGAAAAAATGCACCAAAAACAACAGAAAAGCAAGAAACTAAACAAAAGAAAAACTTATTAAAACTTTCAAAAACTTTTTTTCAAGCCATCAAACG